GGCATCTCAAAAAGTTACAGCTTCCCATTTTGCATTAGATGCTTTATGACTCTGAAAGGAAAACAGAGGAAAACTGAATCAACTGCAACCACTTCAGTCTTCAGACAGTGATTTCATTTCAGAACATATGTAAACAAAGGTATATGTTACCAACAATGCAATTAAAATATGTCCACTATAAAGCTGTCATAAAGACTGGAATTGTATATGTCCAAACCAATTTAGTAAACTGTGACAGTAGCACCAGAGATGTTGCAGTTTTCAGGGATGACATGGTGATACAACAGGTATTGGCTGTGTACCAACTCAATGAACAAAGTCCCTCTTATCCCAGGAAAGAGCCCCCTCATGAAATATTATGGCTTTACCAGAATGAAAAGAAGTACTGATTGAAAAGTTCTCTTTAAGGTAGTGTATATGCATATGGATAAAAATGGTCAGAAAGCAAGAATAGCCTCCTGGTTACCACCGGAGTTGGCATGACAACTGAGCAATGTACACAGTCTGCCAAACAACATATAATACATTAATGTTGTTGAAATGTATGCATTTATTCACACTGAGCAGTTTCTTGGACAAACACATAATGAAGAGTTTTATAAAATCCTTTCCTTCTGTTTTGAGTTTTTCTCCATCAGTTTTGTCCTCTCTTCTTGCTGAGGATATGAAGTTTTGAAAAAGAGCAGTCCCGCCCACGCCCTGAGGGAAAAACAAATCATTGCTCTCCATTGTCTTTGTATTGCATGAAGGTGTCTCACGGTCACCTCCGTCTGTAAGCAAACACCAGAAAAATGCCTCAAAGCTGCTGTGTGGTGAGACGCACTTCCAACAGGTTAAAGAACTCAGAACTAAGTTTTAATAAGCTGCTGAAGCAAGAATCATGAGCCTTAAAGAGACAACAAATCCTCCAACTCATACATAGGTTGTTTTTTCCTACCCTCTAAAACAACCCAGAGGAGCATTTCCTACACTAGTGCGCATCCACAGCCCAATCTTAAACACGTGGTTAATGTGAAACAGTCACAGTTGTACCAAAAGTACGAAGTAAGATTTAGAGAAAAATTGTGTAACCTTCTTTATTGTTACTAACATAATGTGACGCATCTCATGTGACATACATTACATGGGTCGTGTGACACACTACAGCATGCGGCCTTACCTTGCTTAAATGACTCAACAATTACTTCAGTTTCACATGAGACATGAACGCATGTCTCCTGGATGAAAGTCCTGTGTTTGTTTGACCTGTAGACCTCATGCACCCAATCCCCAACCAGCAGACCTTTTCTGATTTAGCCAGACAAATTTTAGCATTCAAGGCTAACTAAGCTATGCAAGAAGGCCTGTTTTTGATCTTTGTGAAGTTAAAAAGGAGCTTAACTCGTGATTAGATGAAATAACTGTACATGCATGAGCATTTCACTTCGGGCTACTCAGTGGGATCATTTCTCCAAGATAAGCACCGTAAGGAGAAACGACACTGAGATAGACTGACAATATTGAGATTGTCAATACACCTCATCTCTGGTACATAATGGATTGTTAAAATAATCCTTTGACATGTTGAAAAATGTTTTTTTTTTTTTTTTTAGCTAGCAACAGATGTTTTGTTTCGGCCCTTGTTTGCATATTGTGGCATGTTTTTCAGGCATGTTGCGATCTGTCTCTGTCGCTCTGCAGCCAGTAAAACTCCACACATGTGGGAGCGCTGGTATGAGATTTTCATGCTATGATACTGGCTCAGAAAACATCATGGTTTCACGGTATTACGGTATTACAGAAGTTATTTTATCGTAAGTCAGATTGACCCTTAAAGGAATGAAAATGTAATGCTTATGTTAGTTGAACAAATGTTTTATTACTGTAATTGAAGCCTTAACCATTTTGTTAATAGAAGTATGTGTAAAAAGTCTCCCATTAGAAGATAATTAAAATACAGGGGAGATTTAGCAAGCAAATGTACATGGTATGATAGCCATCAACTTACATCACATATACCTTGAAACTGGTATATCGCTGCAACCCTAGATTAACTCCACGGAGCACAGAAGGCAAACTTATAACTCATACCCACTCCTGTACAATATGAGAATAAAATTTGTATTTTAACTTTTCGTTACTAGCTACTTGTATTCTGCAGGGGTTGTAATGACTGTTGTACTGAACTGAAATGATAAACACACCTGTTAGGTGGAATGGACTTTTGAGTACAGTCATCACAGTGTGGAGAGAGACAGAAATAAAAAAAAAAAAAATGCATTACCCCTCCCTTCTCTGCATCAAATATAGGGCTGCCAGTTCACAATAATCATGTTTATGCACTGAGAAATCTAATGACACTCTCTGTGTATCTTTGACTGCATGGTTTCCCTTCAGAATGATGTAAAGAACATTCATATGGAAATTAAATGCTGTCAATACAAAGCTGAATAAATGGGTTTCAGGGTGGCCTAATGGTTTGACATCTCCATGGCTAGTTTAATCCCCACAAAAGGGACTGCTGTTGTGTTGTTCACTTTGATATGGGCTCAACAGCTTTGTCGTTCTAAATAATGTGTGCCCAAGTGATAAGTGGCGTTTTAATGTCATCAGCTATTGACAGCATGTAACTAGCTCCATTTACAGTGCAGCACAAATTTTCTACAAGCTAATGGCTTATAGCTTTATACCTTCAAAAATATTGTATAATGTAAATTGCTTTTCTTTGTATCCAAAGACAATTCAGATATTTGTATTGATTTAATAAAAAGAAGAGAGAGTTACTAACCTGAAGTCACATTTATGGTTTCAGTCAACATAAAATCTTGTCTCTCCAGAACACTAGTTCTCCCACCAGCCCTTGTGGGCACTTTTTGAATTAGCTAAACTATTCCTCCTCTGGGTGGAACAATGTTGTAACTGTAACGCATCAGTAAACCCTGTTGAACTTGTGCTGTGGCTGCATCTGCACTGATTAAAGCCCGAAAGCAAAGTTTCATGTCATTAAATGCTTACCCACAAAGACTAATTGAAGAAACTGGTGTATACAACACAAAAAATGTATCATCCATCACTCGCTCTTCCTGTTTCCCTCTTTAAACACAAAAGAAAATACACACATCCACATTTATTTTTTGCCATTCTCCTCCATGTTGTCTTTTTGATGTCTTTTGTGTCATTGTTTGTTACCTTGATTATGTGGTGAGACATTGTTATATGCCCCTCGGGATTTCTCTTTCACCTGCGCATTTGTACCTCACACCGTATTTCATCATCTCTGTATATTATCATCTGTATAAACAAGTTGACAATAGACTCAAAAAAAAAGAGACAGAAATCTCTGTATATTCAAGCATCACAGCATGAAGCATGTCACATTTATTATTTGACACTCACTCACAGCTTATTTATAACCTTTGGTTTTTAGCACCGGGTGCAATGTGAAAGTCAAGTTCCTGACACCACTGAAAACGAGCCAGTTTTATTTCCTGCGATGACAACACATGCTTGAGTAGTCACCGAAGCTCATTTGCATATTAATTTGAAGACAGATGCTCCACGGTCTTTCTGCTGTATGAACAGAGCCCAGAGTCGATCTGCGCTCATGCCAGTCCAACTGGAATTGTGTTTACCAAACTGTATCCTTACTAACACAACAGATTTCTCTATTTGGAGGAATTAGGTGTTAGCTCATCTTGTTTTCATGTTGAATTTATGAACAGCTATAAGTCATCAGACTTCATGGATTTTCCCCTCTTACTTGCAAAGACAGAGGTGTTGGGATTTTAATAAAAATATACATTTCCTTATTTTGTCCTTCTGTGTGTGTATAACCTAAATTGAATTGCTTGTGTGAATGTGCACATTGAAATCAGATTTAATGCTAATGTAAACACAGTAATCACGTTCAAAATGATAGCACTCTATTTCTTCAAGACGATATTGGATTGTTTATTTCTGCGATCAGGAACTACTACTTATTTCTGAGACAACTGAATTTGGACTGTTGTTGTCATTACAAGCAGACACAGCCTCCATTTTTTAGAATCACTTCAGAGTAGCTATTTATATACATTTACCAGCAGTGGAGGAAGAACTCAGATAATTTACTGAGGTAAAAGTAGCAATACTGCAATATAGAAATACTCTATTAAAAGTAAATGTCCTGCATTGAAAATTAATGTATTATTATTACTATTATTATTTGCATTATCAAAAGTAAAAGAACTCATTATTCCAAAACACTGTTAATGTTTTACTGTTTACATTAAGTCATTGGATGTTATTACTGACGGATTAATGTGTTAATAGCATCATACTGCTGTTCTTGGTTGGGATTTAGCTCATTTTAACTATTTAAGATACTACTGGGTTGTTGCATCTCCAAAAGTGGATCATATTTTAAAAGCTGATCGTATGTCTCGTTCTTGTAGAAGTATTAAGTAGCATAAAAACTTGAAACTCAAGTAAAGTACCTCAGGTTTGTTCTTGCATACAGTACTTGAGTGAATGCACTTACTTTCTACCACTACCTTTTACTATGCTGTATGAGATTTATCATGTAATATTTATGCAGAGAAATGAAAAACTCGTCACAGCCCAGGCTCAGTGAGTTTGACAAAGAAGAAGGCCACGCAGTAATTACAGTTATTTAAACAATATTTATTTGAAACTAAGACAAAAACATGAGTAGTCCAAATTTATATTAATTCTTCTGTCATCTGTAACTGAGTGGTGTTTTTAATGCTGAATGTATGTGTGGTGTTGTGAAGCCTGAAAAGGATATATGATGACTGTGAGAAAGAAAAAGAGACAGAATGAGGAGCCAACTTAGATATCCTATAGGCTCAGTTTGCCCAGGTGTGGGTCATCCAGTTAGAGGGCTCCTCCCATCTCCACCTGCAGGCAACCTGTAAAGGGGAAAAACAGAAGACAGTAGGAGGAGGCCGTCACACTGCTTTGCTCACTTCACTTTTGTTTCCCTCCTCTTCCCATTTCCCACTTTCTTTGATTTGCTCCAGAACTTATTACATTTCGCGGCTGACTGTAGCGCATCATGCTGTGGATGAAGTGGAAGATGGTGGTGGACTCCCTGCGAGGACGGAGGAGGAGGCTGCCCTGTTCCCTCTGGTTCCTCCTGCTGTTCGCTGCTGGTGGTTTGGTTCTCTTCATCCACCAGCGGGATCTGTCAGAGATGGTCCAGCAACAAGGCCCAGGTTAGTCTCTGCTCCCCCTAAAACAGCACAGATCTTTACACTGAAGAGAATATTATGAGGAAAACTAAAATAAAAACTCTAAAGTTAGAAGACAACAGGGTGGAGAAGCCCCTTTAAAAAGCTCTTAAGACTGGGGGGTGATACAAATTTAGTTTCTGCTGAATTGGTTTTACACATTTTCAGCAAAAATGCTGCCAAACAAACAGTTGATTCATTACACAAATCTGAGGTTTCATTTCATTTGTTTCATGCCAAATTTATCATCATCATCATCATCATCATCATCATCATCATGTGTAACATGTTTTCAACTGTCCAAACTCTTGACAATATTACAGTACAGTATAATATACAAAATTGTATCTTTATCTTTACATTCCTTTTTAATAATCAATTGAATCTTTAAACGCAAACCAGAAAATTATGTCATTTAAACCTCCTTATCCTATACAAGTACAATATATAAGATTTTAAAACCCAGAATAAAAACAAATCAAACACAGAAATAAAGTGAACTATAAAGCACAAAGTAACATGCATTTCTTTTGTATGTATGCATTAACTGCATCATAATTAGAAGATCATATGTCATATGTCCAATTATTTATCTATTTATCTCACACCAAATTTAAATCAAATCACAACCAGGGGCATCACAGCGGGGGAAAAACTCTGGTTTTGTTAGGATTTTTTTTTTTCCTAATTAAGTATTGCCATCACTAAATTAACATTGGATGAATAAATTGGTTGAGAGACTGATCTACGAAAAAGCAGACAGTGAAGGCAGTCTGAGGCCCCTCTCACCACTTACAAAAGGCACAAAATGGTTTGATCTGCTCCTGTACTGGGATTCGTCTCTAAACCCAACTGGAGCTGAGTGCATGACTGCTTATGCTGCTGGAGAACCAGCTTACGCTGGCATGTCTTTCTCCAAGAAAGGGAAATCTGGGTTTCAAAAAAAAAGAAGAAAAAAATAAAAGGGAAAGAAAGCAAACTGAGGGAAACAGCTTTTAAATAATTCCTTTCAAAAGAAAGGTGAGCACAACTAACACAGTTTAAGAATGGTTTCGCTCATGTCAGCAGAATTTATCTCAGAGCATATTTGCATTTTATAACACAAATTAATCAGTATCATTTATAGATATGCATAGTAGCTGCATATGGCATTTTATTTATCAACAGTTAACACTAGCAAAGCTTAACATCATGAACCATGTGGCCCTCAGTTTCAGACACAGCCACAGAGAGTGGAGCAACGGCAGGTTCCTCACCATCTTCTGATAATGTTGCTGAGGACATAAGACAAGGTGAGCTCAAGAAGAGGCTACTAAAAGTTATTACAAGCAATCATTTCACATTGTGGTGCACAACTGTAAAGACAGCTTTGAAGTGATGTTTAGCCTCTTTTCTGGTAAGCCAACATGACAGGTTTGGGATCATTACAACCTCATGATACCACTGGCTTCACACTAGCTTTAAAAACTGAGCCTTCAGAAGACATTTAAGTTAGTGCTAGATGCTCCACCATCATTTTCAGAGGATTAAAAGTAACATTAGTAATCCAAGAAGGAGACAAGTAATTCCAGTTATAGGCTAATGTCATTAATGAGACATAATTGAATTAAAATCAAAAGTATGTTTCTATTTTTCACTTTTAGATGGTTACATTATGTTGAAAATAGGCCTAACACTAGGCTGAAGTTTAACTTTGGGCCTATTCAAACCAGATTTCATTTTAAAGATATAATAATTTTCTTGCTGAATTGTCAGTTGGAGCTTCTGAGGGAATTTAGTGCAGTCACCAGTGTTACTGGTGCGTTCTGGTCAGAATATGTCTTTTCTTATAAAATCAAGATTTGATCTTAAAAAAAAAAAACATGTCAAAGAAGAGTCTTGAAAAAAGGGGACGTGTTTCTCATGATTAAGGTCATTATGGTATTTTATAGGCAGGTTAAAAGGATATGCCAATCCTGTATGCACAGCTTACTAACACTGTGTAAGAATGGCTTAAACTAATGTTGGTATGTTTGTCAGATTGGAGGCAGTCCTGTTTTTGCACAACATATTGAACAGCATCATAGCAACAATGTCATGTAACAGTATCATCAATATTATCTAGCAAAGCTCAACATAATGAACCATATGACCCTCAGTTTCAGAAACTGCCAAAGAGAGTGAAGAAGTGGCAGGTTCCTCGACATCGACTGATAATGATACTAAGGACGTGAAAGAAGGTGAGCTCATATAGTGGGAACTAAAAGATATTACAAACAATCATTTGTAGCAGTTTCAACAGCCCACAGGAACTGCTTATGCATGGGGCCCAAAATTTTGTGCTGCACCCCTGATCACACAACACAGAAAACAGCATTTCTGTGTTGTCCAGCAGAGCGGACCAAAGACCTGCCAATACTAAATCAAAGCACTGTCATTAGTTTAAATGAGAAGGTGCAAGAGTTTTAAATGGTGACGCTTATCCATGCCAAAATGAAATTATAGGAACATAGCAATACAGGAATTTAGTTAGTGATTATGACATCAAACATAATTGTACATTTTTTGAGCATGTTTTTCATGGTCATGAATATTTTGATCTATTAACTATACAAATGATGACTAATGTTTACAAAACTGACAACCTTGCAAGTAGGAACAACTTTGCTGCAAAATGAAATAGTTTGGTCTTTGATTTTAGCTATACAACACCCCCAAAAGGTCATGGTAAACTCTTGTGTGTATTAGTAGCATGTCTTTCATATCTGATATACTCACTGCAGGTTTACATCCCATGTGGTTTAATGATGCTTTCATGTCTAATGTTAATAGGAGTAGTAAAGAGCAGTCACAGCTCCCATAGCAGTCCATACAGTAGTGCCATAGATACAGCCACAAATGCAGTCATGGCACCTGGTTTGAATGTTACTGCTCTATCAAATAGCTGTTAGTAGTGGTTATTAACATCATTGGTAAACGTCAGAAGGCTCCTGCTACACCAGCTAGTAAGTTTAGAATGCAGTTATCAGCTTGTTAAAACAGCTGATTGTCTTGTTAAGGGATGAAGGAGGAAGTCAGCTGGTGTAACTTTAGTATAACTAGTGATAGAAACTCCCCATAGGGAGGGGCTGAGGAGCTGGATGGAACAAACAAACACAGGACTTTCACCCAGGAGAGGGGGGTTTGTGTCCCATGTGAAACCAAAAGTCAAGGTTGTCTTATTTTAAGTATGTAATATACGCCACGTTACGAAAAGTTTGACTTATGTAAAGTGACAGACCTAAGGTTCTTATTGTAAGCCAAACCATGATGTTTTTTCTAAACACAACTATGTATTATTTGCACCTAAACCTAAGGAAAATAAAAGTGAAACCTAATGAAACTGCTTCCACTGCCAACAGCTGTGTAATGAGCTGCCAATAGCATTCTGAACATACTAGTTGGTGTAGCAGGAGCCTCCTAAACTATACAGACCCTTTCCAAAAAATTAGAATATCATGGAAAAGTTGTTTCATTTCCATAATTCCATTCAAAAAGTTAAACTTTCATAGATTATAGATTCAGGGCCCACAATTTAAACGATTTCAAGTATTTATTTGTTTATTTTTACATAATTTGGGCTTCAAGCTCATAAAACCCACGAAAACAGGAATTCAAAAAATTAGAATACTGTGAAGAAATCACCATTTACTTCTCAGTTTTTGCAGAAAAAAAAGAAAGAAATTAGGATCACATCAAATCAATCAAAATATGGTACTTTCAAAAGGATATGTCAATCTTCAATACTTGGTTGGGAATCCCTTTGCCTTAATCACTGCCTCGATGCGCCGTGGCATTGAGGCAATCAGCCTGTGGCATTGCCTGGGAGTTATGGAAGCCCAGATTTCCTTGATGCTTGCTGTCAGCCCTTCTTTGTTTTTGGGTCTGGTGTCCCTCATTTTCCTCTTGATAATACCCCATAGATTCTCAATGGGGTTTAGGTCCGGCGAGTTGGCTGGCCCGTTAAGCACTGTGATGGCATGGGCATCAAACCAGGTTTTGGTGCTTCTGGCGGTATGGGCAGGGGCCAGGTCCTGCTGGAAGATGAAATCTGCATCTCCATACAGATCCTCAGCAGAAGGAATCATGAAGTCCTCTAAAACATTCTGGTAGACTGTTGCGGTGACCTTGGATTTAAGAAAGCAGAGTTTACCAACACCTGCACCGGACATTGCACCCCAAATCATGACTGACTGTGGATATTTCACACTGGACCTCAAGCAGCTTGGGTTCTGTTCCTCACCCGTCTTCCTCCAAACCCTTGGACCTTGATTCCCGAATGAAAGGCACACTACTTTCATCGGAAAAGAGGACCTTGGACCACTGGCCAACAGTCCAGTCCTTCTTCTCCTTGGCCCAGCTGAGACGCTTCCTACCTTGGCTCAGGCTCATGATGGTCTTCTGGCCAGTTGTCAAGTCTGCAGTCTTCCCCATATTGAACCGAACTGAGACAATTGAACCAAACTGAAGCAATTTAATGACACCTGGGGAAACCTGTGCAGGTGCTTTGAGTTTAGTAGATGATTAGTGTGTGACACTCAGTTTAAAACATTCATGCCCTGCAACATTTGGACTGATTTCTTCACAGTATTCTAATTTTTTGAATTCCTGTTTTCGTGGGTTTTATGAGCTGGAAGCCCAAATTATGTAAAAATAAACAAATAAATACTTGAAATCGTTTAAATTGTGGGCCCTGAATCTATAATCTTTATGGAAATGAAACAACTTTTCCATGATATTCTAATTTTTTGGAAAGGGTCTATATGTATGACGCGGATTTAACGCTAATTTAATAGAGTTATAACATTTGAAATGGGCGATCTCAGCCACAGCTTCAACCACCACAGCCAGACAGAATAGCAACAGTGATGGTTAGTGGCCTTGCAGTCCGAGTTTCCGTCGGGATCGAGGGAGGCCGTACATTCAATTTCCAAATGAGTCAAACCTTTGTCCTCATAAAAGGACCCGATGTGCTTCTGCTTGGCACACAGCATTAAGGAGATTGGGGCTTAAGCAGCCGTGATGGAAGAGTGTCCTGAGCGTGTAAAACTAAGCTGCTTCATGTCTCAGAAACAAGAGATCAGCTGCTCGCTTATGTGCCTCTTTGGCTTGTACTACACTTTCCACCTAAATGAGAGCAGGATTAGTTGCATGTTGCTGCTGTTGTCAGACTAGCCGCCGACTTTGTCTGTACCTTGGATAGTTTTTATACACATCACAGTCTGATGGTGATATTTCACCTCATCTTGATTTCAGAAGCTACACCTTTTCCGGTTATTCTATGTAGTCCAATTGGTTTGGACTCTTTAAGAACCCAGTTTTATTCTTTTGTGTTTTCACCTATCAAAACCAGTAAGCTGTAAATAATCAATGTGTTTGTGGTTCTCAAAGAAAATGCTAATGAACTGGTCCAGCAGACTCTCAGGAGATAAAACCGCCAACTGAACCGAAACTTAAACCCACTGAGTTGCAACACTATTGTGTGTCAACAGCACTGTGAATCATTACGAATATCACAGCAGTGTCACATTTTGCAGCAATGAGAGCCACTTAGCCAGAGGGGATTCTCCCCACCCTCTAATTTTCCCCTGATTGTCAGATGCTTTCAGGCAAGGTGTCAGGGGAAAAAAAGGCCTTTCACAATGATACAAACACACATAGGACACACACAGAAGCACAAATGCAAAAACAGACGCACACATTTTGCACAAATATACACACTATGACAACCAGTATTTAATATTCATAATAAACATCAGACCAAGACCCATTAGAGTCTGTAAGGAGTACGCTGACACATTTTAGGGATTACACCAAATTGATAGTTTTCTTTCCTGCTTTCCTATTTTTCCTGTCATGTGAGTGGACTGCATCACTTTAAGGGAGCAACATTTTCAATCTAAACACAGGTCAGTGCTGGCAGTGTCAGTGGAGGCATTCAGGTTTAGTGTGGAATCATGTTTTCTGTCGTATTTAGCTTGTCTACTTGATGTAATGATGTTGTTTTTTCGTGCACTTCTAATTTAACAGGCTCATTTGGAGAGTGGCATTTTTGTGCATTGGCACATATTTGTTCTGTGCTCTGTTTAAATAATGAATACATTCACTTTCGCGTAATAGTGTAATTCTGGTGTATTACAACTGGTGTCTTATAGTTTGAGCCATAATTTTGGTTATGGTAATATTGTATTCACCAGAGTAATTGCTGAGATTTGGAAACAGCACAACAAAGTCCAGTGAGGTGAAACACACAGGCAGTTAGGCGATCAGGATGTAAACAAGCCAACAGTGTATTTCCAGATGATCACATTTTATCATTTATTCACAATAAAACAAAATGGAGCAACTTATTGCCCCGCACAAGTAGTAAGTACGTTAGGACATAGATGGACTGTGATTGATGTTGAGAGTGGACAGTTTGAGTTTTTTTGCCCCTTCTGACATCTTTTTAGCATTTTCATCTGATCTCATTCATTTCTATGCCTCCACACTGCCGATAGCCATAACTGAAAGCAGTATGTTTTCGGGTTGTCAATCCGTCCATCTTTACATCTCATTGTTGTGAACACAATATCTAAAGAACTCTGTCAGGGACTTTCCTCAAATTTGGCACAAATATTCCCTTGGACTCATCAATTAAATGATTAGTTTTTGGTGGTAATAGGTCAAAGGTCAAGGTCAAGGTCAATGTAACCATGAATCCATCTCATTCTCATTAACGCAATATCTCACAAATGTGTCAATGGAATTTCTTCAAAATTGGCACAAACATTCACTTGGACTGAAGCATGAACTGATTTTGGTGGTCATAGTCAAATGTCAAGGCCACTGTGACCTTGTCTCTCTCATTCTTGTGAACATGACATCTCAATAATACCTTAAGGGAATATTTTCAAATTTGACACAATCTTTCACTTGGATTCACAGTGAGCTGATTAGATTTTAGTGGTCATAGGTCAAAGGTCAAGGTCAGTGTGACCTTGTCTGCCTCTTTCTCATGTACATCTCACTAATGCCTCAACAGAATTTCTTTAAATTTGACAGAAACGTCCACTCGGACTCAGCAATAAACTGATTAGATTCTGGTAGTCACAGGTCAAATGTCAAGGTCACTGTGACCTTGTCTGTCTCATTCTTGTGAACGCAATATTTTAAGAACACCTTGAGGTAATTTCTTCAAATTTGACACAAACATTCAGAA